GTGCTGGTTCCTTCGTTTTGCCTGCGCGGTGTTCGAGTAATAGGGGTGCATGCCGGAGGGTAGAGTACCCACGGCAGGACTCTCGGTAGGTATGGCTGGCATTCCGACCAACTCAACACCCTCACCTCAGCCACCTTGGGTCAGAAACACGCCACAACATGGGATGTGGACCAAAAAAAAAAGAGAGACGGCGTGTGCCGCAGCATGGCTTTGGTGGTGGGAACGAAGAATCGGCCAGCGGCCTTGTTGCTCTCTATCCTCGTCCGAAGCCAGCCACGACCCAGCCTTCCCTTCACCGACATGTGCTAGCTGTCTGGTGCGAGCTGATCTCAACACTCGTAGCGGCCGCAGTGGAGCCTCCCTCTACCGGTACACAGCAAATACCATGGTAGCGTAAGCGTAGCCAGTCAGTAGAGTAGGCCCGTACTTCCCAACGCACCGTTCACACACGATGTTGCGCAGCGCCTCAGCTGGCCCGGCATCGCCATGTTCCCCCACCTGGCGCCAGCCGATGGAGACTCTGTAGTAGACCGAGTCCAGTGCAGGACCACTTCACTGTCCTCTGTTTGGCAGCTGTGTATTGTGCACGGTACCCGTACTTGGGCGCGGAAGTGGGTGGGACATCAGTGTTAAATGGGCGACGTTGCTGTCCTTTGTTGAGTACAACGGTTTGGCCGGGTGTGGCTGCACCCCGTCCGCTATTGCACATTGCCCACGTGCTTCTGTCCCGAGATGCTACCAGACTCTGAAAGCTCGACTTCTCGCTGTTGTATATGCATTGCTACCCAATCAATCACACGCACACTCGTCGTCGTTGTTGTTGTTGTTGTTGTTGTTGTTGTTGTTGTTGTTGTTGTTGTTGTTGTTGTTTTCCTGCTTCTGCAAAACGCCCTCTACGGCTAAGAATTGTTTCCACAATGGCTTCTCACTTTGCCCACAGAAAGCAGGACCCTTGACGCACGCTGCTTTTGATCCGCCCCACCTCCACCTCCACCTCCACCTCTCTCTCTCTCTCTCTCTCTCTCTCTCTCTCTCTCTCTCCACCTTGGTTTCCTCTCTTGAACCCACCACACCTTGGGATCTCCAACTCCACGCAGGACCCCCTCCCGCCCACGGACAGCACCGTGCCCGCGCTCTGAGTTTCCAAGGAACCATCGAATGGCAACGCCAGAAGCCATACGCGTCCGCGCACGAGTACTTGGGAGCAAGGTCTTTGTTCTTGGCCCACCCATCCGCAGCTCTCCGATAAGAAAAGAGTCCCCACCTTCATGGACAGGCCACCGCGTCTACCCGAGCAGGTTCAAAAAGGTCTAGAATGCAGACTCCCCACTTGTTTTCTTCTCTTTCATGCCGTCTTATCCCCCCCCCTCCAAGGGTTGCAATCGATGCACGATGCGGGCGGTGTAAGTAAAAAAACGGTCAATGCAACACACACACACACACACACACACAATACGTGACCGCCACTTTGATTTTTTTGCGCTTTGTGGACAGACAGACAGTTTCACATGCCAAAATTGTCGCGCGCCCAAACCTGTCCTTGTGCTTGAGCCGTCAACTCTCTGGGACAATGCAAACTGTGCTAGTGGATGACTGCATGAGGTATAACCTTTTTTTTTACGCTTTTTGAACGGCACATTTCTCGCTGGTATCTAGGCCAGACACAAAGCGGTGCACTGTATCTCCACTTTGGGCTCTCTTTCTCTCTCACACTTTCTCCCCTCTTGCATCTGACATTCCGCGGAATAAAGCTCCGAATGCTACCGTAGCAAGTGAGAGGCCTAGTACTTGGAGTAGGAGAAGCAGAGCTTTCGATGTACATCTACCCAATCAGATACCAAGGAGAACAACGTACGTGCTCTTTGACCAGTTCGCCCCCCCGCCCCCTTGGGCCGCATGGTGTTTTCCAGTTGTTGAGACGCTGTCGTGTATACTGGCTACTGTCACCGTGGACTACTCTAGCGTTGCCGTTTCTTTGAGTGTGCGAAGAATGTTCTGCGCATGCGGCGATCGGGGCGCTAGTGGACTGGGAGGCTTGGTTTGCCGCAGAGCCTCAATCTGTTAGGGGAAGGGTTTCATATTACACCTACCACTGTTCTTTAGTAGGCTATCTACAAAATCTACACCAATCAGTGTGGAAAGACTTTACTCCCCTCGACTCGACTCGATTCTAGCAGCGCTTCCCGAGGGTATCTTTTTTTTTGGAAAAAAAAAGAGAAAAATCTCGCCTTTGCCACGCCTCGGGTCAAGCCCTGAACATCTCACGACTCTCATCATGCTAGGCAACTACAGCATGATCAAAAACAAGCAACAGAGAAAACACAATCCTAGCAATCCATGCTGTCCATCTCCTCGTCGCTGCATCGATGCAAGTCTCCACTGGTGGAAATAAAGAAATAAGCCCAGAATCCAGACACAGGCTCCCTGTACAACGCTTGCCCAGACCACACTCATGCACACACGCTTGTTTGGACAAGCAGGAAGTGGAGATGGCTGGCCGATGTGATGTCGGAGGCATGTATGTTACTACTGGGATGGATAGTAGAGTTGAGTAGCAGTCGCTCTGGCCATACTCGGCGACTGGCTGTCTGGCTACTCGGCGACTGGCTGTCTGGCTACTCGGCTAGCTAGCTAGATAGTGGACCCAACATTGGTTTAGCGAAGTCATGGGAGACAGACGTGGGTCGGGGCGGCAGTTTGGAAACAAGACATGTGGGTTGGAGTGGGGTGGGGTCTGCCGGATGAGGTAGATGGTATGTATTAATAGTTTTTTTTTGTTACGGGGAACGAGGCGTATGTAATTTTTGCAAAGTTTGTTACATGGGATCGAAGAGGATGTGGATGTGGGTGTGTGCATGGTGAGGTAGATGATAGAGGTAGAATAGGGCAGGGTAATAATCAGTAAATGGGTGACTTCTCAGTTGACAGTGACAGAATAGCTCCTACCATCCTAGGTCATCACCCATCCATCTCCCACGAGACCACAACCCTTCCTCCACACTGAGCCTCAGACCACTGCCCAAACCCTCAAACCAGGAAAAACAAAAACATACTCATCAGTTCAACAAGACATTCCCACATGCAACAAATCACCCCACCCCACATTCCAATCAACCAAGCCATCCGATTCCAAAACCCAGCGTCCCACCTATCCCAGAACCCCTCAGACTTGAGCCTCGGGAAACGTAGTAGGAAAATCCCATACATCCCTCTCCTGAAATCGATAACAGACACTACAGGGTTTGAGGTAGTTTGTCTATCCCATACTATACCCCTTTTTAAAGGAAAAAGCGAGCGAGCCAAATAGTAAATACATACCAGCAAGCACATCTACATGCACAACCAGTCAACAATGCTCCCCAGCCATCCAAGAAGAAGCTCATAAGAGGTGCAGTTATACGCCATCACATACGTCCATGTGGTTGCGCGTCGCTGACCTTCCCGCTTCACCTGCTTCGAGCGCAGAAAAGAGGTGGCTGATTGTGATGTCGAGAGGACGTGCATGTACATCTCGTGTACATGACGTGACATGAGTATGAGCCAGATCGATAAGACATGGTGGTCCGCACATTGCACGCACATGGACTGTCTACCTGGGAGATGGTGACTTCGACGGAGGTAAGCTGCTGAACTTGGTGCTGTTGTATTGCTGTTTGATGGTATAAAACCCCAACATGCAACCACTAATCAAGATGCATCCAACGATCCATGTATTTTCTTGTTTCAGCCTGAGACCATCCCTGACGGCAGTCAGAACGTAGTTAGCAGCAACTCGAATTAACCACACAATCAACAAAGAAGACCTGCGGTTGGGTGTGTTTATTGTCTCTTTTATTGAATGGTCTGGTTTGGTCTAATTGGTATCCCTTTGATGCAATCCCTCAATAGTCGCTAACCGGAATTGGTAGTCAGGTATCGACATGTTAGAGTAGAATCTGTCCTGCACTGTTGCGGCGATCCTACATGCATGCTGAAATGCAAACACTGGCTTTCATGTTCAGATGACCAAGTTCACATCACTCAAAAGTCCTGCTCGTCGCTTCCAGCAATGATGACATTATTGACCTAGAATCTGCAGTCAGTAAAGGCAAAATGACAAAGGGTGTCGCCTCCAGCATTCCGACGGAGACGGCCCGTCGAGATGCACAAATAGCAAATGCTGTCCGTTCGCGTGTAACATGTGAAGCAATATTGCATGCATCAGTCCCGTGCATGCGCTCCACTTCCCCGCTTCCCCGTTCCCCTCTCCGTTCTTTGGACCCAGGAGAAGGCTAGGTAAGGAATGGGGAAGGGAAGCGCAAACTCGGTAATGCAGTTCGGAAGGGATGAGGGAAGGAAGGGATGGTGTGGGCAAGGGGTGCACGACATAACGACCAGAGGGCGTGGTACGCTGTATCTTACGGGTTGTAACGAAACAAAGAGGGTATTGAACACGTACCTTGAGAACCATTCTGCATAACTGGGTTGCGAGTAGCAATTGTTGCCTCTTTGAAATAAGGGGATCGATCACGAAGTGCTCCTTCATATCTGTAATGACGCTGCGTTAGCACGAGCTCTAATAAATTTGCCAGGCTTCAATCCCATGGCCGTCTTCGCAGTGTGACAACTCTTAGTAGAACAGCCTGGAAACATCCTCATCGGTGATCATGGTATTGAGGAAGAATAGGCATGAGCTCGCGTGGGGGAGGGGGAGGGCGCAAGAGTGGGATGAGAGCCGCCAAGGCTCTCAACGCGGGAATACGTGGAAGCCAGGGAATATACGCGTCGTCGTAACGTGTGACGGCGCAAAACCACGGAACGGCGGTGAAGACGAGAACCAGACGGGGAATTGAAACGAGAAGCGGGACGAAAAGTGAAACTGAGACGAAATCGGGACATACCATTGCTGCCTGTCTGCATACAATCGACACCTAACCTTGTGTTCTTCTCCTTGGCTTGTCGGGACTTGATATTGGCCAGAGTCTCAATTGGACTGAGACCAGAGTTCTCAGCCAGGGCCATGGGCACGGCGTCAAGCGCATCGGCGAAGGCGCGCATTGCGTATTGTTCCAAACCAGGGCTCTGTGATTGACTTAGACACGGGAATTTGACTTGACGCTTTGGGAGCACATACCTTGACCGCTGCATCTTCGACAGCCAGTGAACATGCAACTTCAGCAGCACCACCACCATAGACGATGCGGTTGTCTCGGACCAGGTTTCGGACAACGCAAAGGGCATCATGCAGTGATCGTTTTGCCTCGTCGATGATCTGTGCCACGTTAGTGATACTCTATTCTATCAACAATCATATTGGCCAGCCATACCATCTTGTTGCTACCTCGCACAAAGACCGTGACAGCCCTTGTGTTGGCACATTCCTCGATCACCAGCATCTTGTCTCTTGTGGTTCCGAAAGTCAACTCCCGAACAACACCAGCTGTGCCCAACTTCTCTGCACTGAGGTCCTCGAACCGCGGCACAATACGTCCATTTGTGGCAATGGCGATGAGTTCAATTTCCGGACCACCCACCCATCGCACTGCAGGAAGCTGGTTTGTAAGAAGAAGATGGTTTGCCTCATCGTCAAAACCCCATTGACATATGACCACATTCGCACCGGTAGCCTTGATCTGCTCAATCATCTCGGTGAACTTGTTGGACTCGTAATGTTGCAGCTTCTTGAACTCTTCCACCGAGGTAATGTCCAACTTATGCTTGGTCTTTGGCTTCGGGGGCTCGAATGCGCAGGTGAGGATGGCGAGTTTGGCGTCCCTGACTTCTGAAGGCATCTGGGGATGTGAGAAGTCCTTGTCGACAATGACGCCCTTGACGAGCAGCGTGTCTTCGAGCGAGCCTCCGACCTTGCCGTCCACCTTGATGAGCTCGAAGTTGACATCCTTTGCTTCCAGATCTGCCACAGAGAGCACGGCATCGACGGCGATGTTGGCAAATTGGTCGTGTGCTTTTGAGACGATTTTGCTTCCCAAACTTGTCTTTGCGACGCGGAAGAGCTCCTCGGTGTTGTCCTTGGAGAAGTTGATCTCGTCGCTGATTTCGTCGAGCCTGGCCACGGCGACTTCACAGGCCTGGTCGTAACCGTCTGCTATCCTGATGGGGTGGATGCCCTTGTCGATGAGGTCCGCCGCCTGCTCCAGGAGAGCGCCTGCCAACACTACGACACCAGTTGTACCGTCGCCAATTTCATCATCCTGGGACTTTGAGAGTTCCACCAAGAGCTTCGCAACGTGGTTCTGGATGTCCATCTGAGAGAGAATCGTGGCGCCGTCGTTTGTGACTGTGATGTCTCCATCGGGGGAAATGAGGATCTTGTCCAGGCCACGGGGTCCCTGCAGTACATGAGCATTGCGCGCTTCTTTTCTAGTTTAAAGCATTGCTTGCGTACCAGCGAAGTTCTTACGATGTTGGCGACCGTCTTTGCGGCCAGAATGTGTGACTTGACGGCATCGTTGCCATGCTGCCTCTTTTTTCTACCCTGACTGTGAAAAACATCAGCTTTGGCTCCCCCCAGTCTTATTTCCGGCGTGAGACGTACTCCCTGACAATGATGAATGGCCTGCCCGTTTCATCCTTCATCACCTGGGCTTATTCGGTACTGTTAGTCGGTGATTCGAGGGCAAGTGGGATTTCGCAGGAAGCTTGGACGCGTACCATTCGACATGTCAATATCTAGGGAAGAGACTATGTTAGCAAATGATGATCATAACGATAGTCACATTTTGCGAATTTCCAACCAAAGGGTTCATTTAGGCATGGGCTGCAGCCTGTATATCTGACGTGACTTACTCATGGCCATGTTGAGCCAATGCCAGACTCAAATGAAGACGTGGGAAGACGTAAGCGACAAGTCCGAGTCCAAGATATACTAGACTGCTATTACACGATTACAGACTGGCTGAATGACGGTATTGTTGCTGTTTTGTCTGTCGGGGGAGGGGGAAGAGGGGTGGTGGTGGGGGTCTGTGTGTAAACAGCTTGGGGAGGGAACATTTGTCGAAATTTCCCCATGAACGGCCTTGGCAAAGGCCACGACAGGGACCCTAGAACGCACGGCCGTTCCAAGGTTCGCGAACGCGCCCGCGCCGCCATGACAGCTTCTTAACTCCTTCACCCTGGTTTCTCACTTCCGCCAAATGCGCATCGCCGCGCAGACAATTGGCACCCTTGGATGCAAAGAAAGCAATTAAACGCTCCTAGACAAGCCACCCATTTCCCCGAGGACAGCCAGCCACAGCTCTCCAATCCACCATGCCGCGTGAGTCACGCCAGCAGCCTCTTCCGAGCAAGACGCGCATCTACGTGATAGCCATGTACTGACGCGACCATAGCCGCCCTGAGCGATCAGGAAGACTCTTCCGGCGAAGACGAGGTGCCACCGCAGCCCAAGGCGACCAAGGGCAAGGGCAAAGAGAAGTCGGTAGACGACCATGTTGACGAAGGCCCGGGTCAGAATGAGGACAAGGATAGCGGCAGTGAAGAGGCCGAAGACGAGTACGGCATATGGATGGAGCCGCATAGAGAGCGCCCTGAGATTGACCGTGCGATAGGTACATCGTAGAGAAGATTATGGGTCACAAGTTTGTCAAAGTGGGCGACCAGCATCCTTCGGCGAACCGAAGCAACAACAGCAACAACAAGCACAAAAGCTAACCAGGCCAGGGCCAACTTGTATTCCATGTCAAATGGCAAGGCTACGACGACCCCAACGACCAGACCTGGGAGCCAGAAGATAACATGTACGGCACCCACCACATCCACAGCACCCTTCCCCCTTGGTATCCACCATGCTGACCGACGTAGGACTGGTGCCGTGGACGTGATGAAAGAATACTTTGAAGAGATTGGCGGCCGACCGGAACCCAAGGGCGGACAAAAGCGGAAGGGTCGAGCATCGGTGGCCAAATCAGACTCGGGCACCCCCGCAACAGTCGCCAAAAGGCCAAAGCAGGAGAAGCAATGGAGTCCCCCACCAGGCTCATGGGAACACGATGTCAGCCATGTGGATACGGTCGAGGAGCAGCGCGATCCCAAGACAGGAGATCTCACAAGATACGCCTACCTTGTGTGGAACAACCAGAAGAAAACCCAACACCCGCTCAAACACGTCTATCAAAAGTGCCCGCAAAAGGTACCGCCGTCCCTTGCACCCAAACGTTGCGAGCTGATAACTGACTGATGTAGATGCTGGCCTACTACGAGAGCCACCTCGTCTTCACGCACCCTGAGAATGATATAAGTGGTGATGAAGGCAGCAACCTCACCATGGACGATGCTTACTAATGTGACCAAGGCCTTTAGGAACAGCCATCGCAATTGAGCCATAGGATCCAACAGAACACCTTGGTCGGTCTAGTGACGTGGAAAAGAGGGCGGTTAGGTTGCCAGGCCCTGTGGGCTGGCGTTCGATTCCTTGGCTCGCCCACACACACGAGGGAAATTGGCTTTGGTGGCAACTCGCAGACAAGTTTGTGGGGTATATATGGCGTTGCATGCGAGCTTTGGACATTTTTTGGACAAGTCAAAGATTAAGGGCGGTCTCATTCTATTTCGCAGACACCAAGTATGTCTTGCTCTTCTGGGTTTGTGTGTCCATAACCGACTCAAGGAAGGTGCGTTGATGGAGCAATCTGGTTGATTCACCCGACAGTCGATACACCAATTCCAACGGGTCTCGACTGGTCTCGATTCTAAGCGAGCCTACTCATGGTAGCACGTGTTATTCAGCCAATCGAGCATGTTGGGACTTGTCTACCAGTGAACATAAAGCGGGTGTATTCAAGCTGAACACTTGTAGCGCCAGCGTGCCAGTTGAACCAACGACTGCATCAGTTGAATCCAGACTTGAACTTCCTCCTTTAGCCTCCGCAACGATATCGCAGGAGGAACCAACTACGATGTCGTTGTAACAGCCCCCGCAGAATGTCGAGCCTCATACTACTAACGAGACCGATATGCCGTCCTTGTCTTTAATCGTCGTTGAGCATGCATCTCGCGTAGCAACATTGCTGCATGTCATCAACTAGAGTAGCAGCTAGCCTTTTCAGTCTGGACTGAGAACATGTGAACAGCCAGCTAGGTACGCTACCTAGCCTCTCTCTCACCACCCTAAGTAGATGCACCTTTCACATATCCACTTCACAAAAATGCAAACCACTCTACGAAATGTTCTACGGCCATGCGTAGGATTCATACCACATTTCTCCGAGTTGTCAGTAGCTCTACAAGATCAGCTTCGGGATTTACAGCCGTTTTGACTGGGGCCGTCTCCATCGACTCTGATCGCGCGCCGTCTTCCCAATAACCCCCTGCTCACACAACTAGGGTACATCTTCGGTAATCATTATTCATCACAGTGACGTAGTACTGTCCTGTAGCCAGTTCCAGTCTGTCTACGTACTGCTGCACAGTCAACTCATCCTCCCGTCTATCGCGTACATGTTTCCTCTTTGATTGGCCCCCGTGAATAAAAATCGTGCGTCGACGCGAATACTGCAACGTGCGTATCCTGCATGAAGGCGAGAGCGACCGTTGGACCAGCGCATGAAAAGGTATAATCAACATCACTCTAGCATCATGACTGACTAGTCTTGGACTGGTGCATGGGATAAATGGGGTCTTCTGCAAACCTCCCTGCGTTTCTTTTGGGTTGCTTCAACTCTATGCAACTCGCGTTCTTTCGACTACTACACAGAATTAATTTCTACACTGAAGAGCGAGCATGGCACCAGCGGAACCGAACGCGCTGCCGTTCCATGTAAAGGGCACAGAGCCTGACTTTCCCGAGGAGCGAGAAGGATGGAAAGGGTATATCGAATGGGAAAGGTATCCAGAGAAAAAGAAGCAAGCTGCGGAGATTCTTGCGCAATATGATTTCCCTGTTGTAAGCCAAGGATGTAGGAATCTCAGCGAAGAGCGACTGATGAAGTGATACGGTTAGCCACCAGAGTTTCAGATGGTGCCCTTGCCAGACACGAATCCTGTACTTGAGGGCGTGCGTTGGAAGTACGTAGGCTCCACTCAACTTGGTCAGTACTCATAGCTGACATTCAGATAGGTATTATCACTATGCCCTGGGAAAAACGATAAAAGATCTGCCCCAAATCTCCTGGGATTATGTCAAGAAGGAGAAATCAGAAGATATGATCCACGTTCTGCAATTCCCCTACAACGGCGAGCCACCAAGAGTGAGTAAATGTCATGCCAGAAGTATGAATCTCCTATTGACCATGTCTAGAAACGTTTAGTCGAGGCATGTAATGACCCATCATCACCTTGTACATTACCGTTCCTTCCCCTAACTCCCCATATCTAGAGCGAAATCACACCCAATCCTGATCATTTTGTCCGCAACCATGGTGGAATCCCCGAAATCGATCCATCAAAATACTTCTTCGAGGTCGAAGGCCTCGTCAATCGACCAGGCACCAAAATCTCTCTCGCCAAACTGCAAGATGAATCTCTCTTCCCCCGCATGGAAACGACCGTCACCCTCCAATGCTCTGGCACCCGGCGCATTGAGCAAATCCACGACTACCCCGGCGACGGCGACGAACTCATCAACGCCCCCTGGGGCGAAGGCGCAATAGGAACCGCGCGCTATGTCGGCGTGTCCCTGAAGAAAGTCCTCAAGTATTGCGGCGGCGTTGCAGACGGAGGCAAACACGTCGAATTCTTCGGCGCAGACACGTACTTCAAAAAGGGCCAAGTATACAACTACGCCGTCAGCGTGCCGCTGCGCAAGGTCAAGGTTCACGAAGTCATGCTGGCTTGGAGTATGAATGGGGAACCATTGCCTGCCATTCACGGCGCTCCGTTGCGCGTAGTCGTCATGGGCTACATTGGGGCGAGGAGCTGCAAGTGGCTTACGAGGATCAATGTCCTGTCTGACCCATCGCTCGCTCCCGTCCAGATGAAGGAGTACATTTACTACACACCACAAATGGGCAAACAAAATGTGACGTACAGCAACGGCTTCAGTATCCAGACGATGCCTGTTTCCAGCGCCATCATGACGCCAGTGGACAAGGACGTCATCGTCCACGACGGCAAGATCAAACTCACGGGCTGGGCCTACAGTGGCAGTGGCTGGCCCGAACGCGTCGAAGTGAGTAATGATGGCGGGGGCGTCTGGTACGAAGTCCCGTATCAGAATATGAGTACAAAGTATTTCCATGCGTGGAGGACATGGTGGATGGAGATTCCGGTGGATGCCGAGGGGTGGTTGGAGTTTTGTGTTCGATGCTGGGATGATGCTTTGAATGTACGTCTTCTCTCAATTATTCTCTTTTTTTCCTTCTTGTGTTCTTCCTCCGCTCCCATAGGCCCTTACATCCTTCCCTCAAACCCTTCCCGTCTCCTCCTCCCGTTACCCCCCTATCATTCCCACCACATCACTAACTCAGTACAACAGACCCAACCCACCTTCGTCCGTAGCGCATGGAACTGGGACCTCCACGTCACTTCATCTTGCCAGTAAGTCCCCTCCCCTCTCTGCTCCCCTCCACGTCTCCCCTTTTCTTTACCACTCCCCATACCGCTAACACGAAACCCCACCCACTCCTTCTAGCCGCGTCAAACTCTACAGCGTCAACAAAAGCAAACCACAAACTGCTAAACGCCTCAAACAGCTCGAACAACACGGTGCTTCGATGCTGCCGCTGACCCGGCCTTTGCCGTTTGATCTTGAGACTGAAGAGGAGTATTTGGCGGAAATAGAGAGGCGGGGTGGGAGGGATCCAGTGGAGTAGATGTTGTTTGTGTGGTGTTTGTGTGAAGGAGAGTTTATAGGTTAATGGGGTGTTGGATGTGAGGGTCACGGTCATGGTCAAGTGCATGTAACATATAAGGCAGTTGTACTCATGCGTGCAGATCGATCATTGTTGGGTATAAACTCTGCTAACAAACATATTGGTCTGCTACGCAGACGTGAAATGAAAAAAAAGTACGCCGTCCCAGATCCATTTCCTTTTCTCGGTCTTTCACCTCTCTCGCTCCATTTACACCCACACATCACCCACCACCCACCCACAAGCCCATTCGCCTCCCCCCATTCCATCACTGATAAAATTTCCATTGCGGCTTTTTACACTTCCAATCCTTCGTCACCTTCCCCGTCCTCTCCACAAGCCACCCACTCGTCCACTTGACATCGCTCTTTGGCGCCTTCTTCGCACCGAGACGCAACACCTTGCCTAGGTGGCACTCGCCGTCGCCAAAAGTGGTGTAGCGCCATTGCAAGCAGTCTGGGACATCGATGCAGGCTTTTTGGCAGCGGGCGGCTGAGTCACCCGCGTTGAGGAACAGGGAAGTGAGTTTGTCCCAATTGGGGGGTTGGTTGTCGTTGTCGTCGGCGGGGGCGGGGGCGCGGTTTTGATGCGGGGGTGGGGATGGGCTCGAGACTGTGGTGCTTGTATCTGTGGGGGCTGGTATGGTTTGCGTGGATGTAGGCTTTTTTTCATCTTCCGCGGTCTCTTCACTGGGTCGAAGGGACTCGGGAGATTTCTCCTCATCTTGCTTGCCCTGTTCTGTTTTCTCCCTCTCTGCCTCCACTTCGTGCTTCTTCTTCTCTGCTTCCTCCTCTTCATGTTTCTTCTTGCGCTCTTCTTCTTCTTTGAGTTGCTTCTGGCGACCCTGCGGCGCGACAATCTTCGTGTCAGTACTGAGGTTGTCCCAATCAACTTTTTGTGCTTCCATGTGCGAGGCCACGTAGTCAGCGAAGGCGTCACGGTACAAATAGGGTTCCTTCCAGCCCTTGGCTGCTACCCATTTCTTCTCATTTTCCCACATGCCTTTGAGATCGTCGCCAAGCACATGGTGCCATGATATAGCAGGCGAACACCAGATCTTTTTTGTGTAGTCAAGTGTGCTTGGCTGTTCAGTCTGGAGCATTGGCCAGGAGGTGTAGAGTTCAACATGTGCATCGTTGAGCGCCTTGGTCAGGAGTAGATCACCGCAACATTCCTTGGCGACCTGTGGCTCCCATTTCGACTCATATAACTCGTCGTAAGATTTGGCATATCGTCGCATGGCAGCCTGGGATAGTAGAATGCCCGAGCCTCGCTGTGCAATCTGGACCCCGCCCATGTAGGTGGGTGCTCCGCTGTGATATGGTATCCGGTAATCGAGTCGTCCCGCCCACTGCAGGAGATTGGTCCAGCTCAGACTCGTGTCGGCTTCGATGAAAATGAAGAACCTCGCACTGGGTCGTAGGTGGTATGCTTGATACACCATGGGCAAGAACTTCCACTTGTCCAACGCCTTGGTCTTGGCCATGTCAGGCTCGTGTTCGGTGTCTGCATGCATGAGCTGGTATTCGTGGAATTCTTCGTAATTTCGCTTCGTGTCACCGCTGATGGGCTCGAGGGCATTGTGCACCGTGTAGCCGTTGATTTCGCCCGAATGGTCGCTGAAGATGGCAAAGTTGGGTACGCATTCAAGCAAGCTCTCGAGGTGTGTTGGTAGTCTGCTCTTGATTTCTGCTTTTGACGTTTTCATGACGACCATGATATGCCGCGCGCCCGGTGCATCCTTGCAGAAGTCGGCGACACCGTGTGTAGGCGGTTGTATGGTTTCCTTGTAGGGCTCAGATACTGTTCCATTCATCCTATCTTTCCACCGAACACCATCCTTGTCATGCTCCGGTACGCTCGTCGCCCCTGGAGCAATACTTCTATGTGCTGTCGTGTGTGTATATGGCGTGGTGGATGGCAGGGTCACAGTAGACGCAATCTCCTGGCCATGGTGGTCGATTATAGGCAGCGCAGGCGCCGCAAGCGGTCTCGACAGTCCAAATGTCCAGAGAAGGATCACGAGCGAAGAGGAGAGGACGATGATGGCCAGGCGTGAAGGGGTGAAGATAGGCATGGTGGCGGTAGGGCAGGGGTGCTGCGACCAGCCGTCGCCCAACTTGAGGACACGCACAAGGCCGCTGGGGTTGTTGTGGTGATCAATGGTGCTTGGTAGGCGAATTTCTCTAGGCCAGCGACAGGGCGCATGTCATGTGTCCATTGTGTCGTCAATGTGAAGAGGGAGACTTGCGTGGGCGCGAGAAATGGAGGGTAGATACTTAGGTACTTCAATCCTGCAGGTCCTTCCCGGCGGCTGTGGCGCACCGTCTGACAGTGCCACCTCCTCGCGCGGCTCCATGACGGCCTTTCCAACAGGACACGTTAATTGAAGTCGGGAGGAGGTAGCCACTGGCAGGATCCATAATGGAGCACTGGAGACCGATGTTTAAGCGCAGATGGAGTATGTACATATTATGCCATGCTTACATCATGTACAGAGGTTCCTACAAAATTACCGGTACAGGTGATCCGTGAAGAGATGCATGTAATTTTCCTCAGCGACAGACGATGCTTTGTCCCAATTTGTGATAGCTGGCACTTATACCAGGAAGAAAAATAAATATTCATGCGACAGTTTGCATTCCTACCAGAAAAGATCCATGTGTTCATGTTCAGGCTGGATTGGACTCGAAAGTTGTATGCGACGTTGCTCTTCTCGAGTACCAGACTAGTACGAAATTATTAAGAGAAAGCAGGACGAGTTGATGGATGCAAGCGAACACTTGACACACTTCAACCGCATCTCCAAAGTGAAGGAAGCTGTGGCAAGATCAATGGCAGATGCGATTTGGCATGAAGCATGGACTAAGCATACCAGCTCTCGCAACAAAGATCCTGTGGCTATTATATGTGACATACTAGTGGCACAAGTGGGCGTGTGACCTAGTTGTTGCGCTGTTTGTTCAATAGAATACAAGGAGATTTGAAGATAACGGACTCTCTGTGACGGTTGACATTGGGAAGCTGAATAGGTTGGAGATATTTAGTAGGAGAGAAAGGGAGGGACCGAGTATTATTCTAGGATGCCACAACAACCTTGAAACCAATTTAACAGAAGATTAGTGCATGCAGAAACACATTCAAGTGTGACATATAATACCTTCATGGCCGTACATCTCTTATAAGTGTGTGGGTGTTAGAGCGTCACTGAGCGGTGGCCAAAGCGTTCACGCGTCGCTGGAATCCTGGTCGACGCCTGGGCGCGTTCCGATAGCTTCGGCCTGCATCTTCCTCCCTACAACAAATCCATCGCGCCATGAACGATCGACGATCGCCTCAAGAGCACATGGACGTCGAGAGAAGATCTTCTTCACCGAAGCGCAAGAAGATACGTCAAAAGTACGCCCCCAAAGCATGTATGTCCCCTCTTCGTTTTTGTTTGATCATTTCTTGGCATGTCCAACATTCTCGCAGCATTCCGACCGTTCCGTGCCCTTAGCGGTACCAGGTTCACTGCTCGACGACCTCTTTGATCTGCAAGAGGGAAGACTGACTTGGGAACGTAGGCGTATCTTGTAGACGCTCAAAGCTCAAAGTACGTGATGCACATTGCGCCTGCTCAATCCCAGGGCTACTCGCTTTCTCCAGGGGGAGAGATATGCCTCCAAATGTACCCATATAATCACAGCCAAACTAAATATTGAGCAGTGCTCTGGCGAGAACCCCTGCCAGCGATGTATCGACAATGGAAAACGGTGCTTCTTCTCAGAAGACCAGACGGCGGCTGAAGCCCTCCAGAACCTCAGCCGCTTGACACCTACGCACACGCCGTCATCCACTCTTGTCGACAATAACAATCTACCCTCGAGGAATCCACTGCCACGTAACGAGGCTCTGGAACGGCGGGAAAGCGACGTCAGCATGGCTGATATGCCCTTGGAAGCCCGCATGGCTCGGCTCGAATCGACCATGGATGCGCGTATGTCCCATTTCGAGAGCACAATAGACGCCCGCGTGGCGCGCTTGGAAACCACAATGGACGCTCGCATGGCTCGCATTGAGATGATGATGGAAGCAATCATGCACGATCGAGGCATGAGTATACCGCCGTTACCAGGAGGTATCGACCGCAATGACAGCAACAGTGACGGCTTTCGATATGGAAGCTCCTTTGATCCAGTCGACCCCATTAACCCTGCCCTCGCTCACATTGGACAACAGTCGACCTACTATCTTCCCATGCCGCCTGGAGCCCCTCCTCCATCTGACCACTCGACATCATGACTGCTCGTTCCATCCCTCCATCATGCAATTTTGAACCAGCAGTTCCATGCTTGTCATCCAGGCATCCACAAAGCAGCATCTTCCTGAAGAATTGCGCGTCAGCCAAGACCAAATCCAATATGGAGTTGATGATATCATGCTGCTTCCCTTCAAAACACGTTCATTGGCGACCCGATCCCGGACTTGGTTCTATCTATCAGCGACGCAGGACAATCGAGGTATATGGTGAAAAGCGAATGGCCTTACGAGGTTGACGTGGTATACAATGAGACTGCTTCATCTAACTTAGCTGGAAAAACTGTCAATTCTGGTTGGCCGCAAAACTATGGCCGGTGATTTCTTGGTCCGATTGACCGACTCTCCATGATGATTTCCTAGGCCCGAAGGACCGAATTCCCACATGTCGATTTGCTCATCAACATAGCAGATGGCGCATTTCTCTGACAATCATGTTACGTCTATGCATGCTTCTTATCTTCTTCTCCCGTTTATTTTCGATAGTGGTCTTCTTTTCTTTTTCGGCTAGAAGTTCGTACATGTATGCAAGCTCACCCGGATCAGGCCGAGATCTGGTCGACATGGAAAGTTGTCTTTGCTGTATGCTGTCTTCTATCATTACTTCTATCTACTACCGCTTGCTCAGATACCCAAACACACCGTACTACCGTACTGAGTGTCATGCAGCGTATCTTCTAGAACACAACTGTGATCTTTCTACTCTCTCGGAAAAGTTGCAGATACATGAACTTGCGGCTACACTTACATTTGGTGTCACTGCCTCCGAATACAGCCGTTTGTTTCGGTCAATTGCGAGCGGCGATTCGCTGACAATCAATTCCCCATTTTGCAGTATTTCATCACTCAAGTAACAGCCGCTCTCGACTGACACCTGACACCTTGCATACTGTGGCTCGATGGAACAACGATCATGAAGATAACTTTGACTATGTGATCATGAATCATAATACTATCGTTTGCCCTACGAGCGAGCCTCGGTATCAAGCTTTGTCAAGAACTGCGCTATGAAGCCACTAACAAACAAGTCCCGCCGAGGTGGCACGGCTTATACCCGATAAGCTATGATCCCGTTCATACACTAAGATAAGAAGGTGCCATTGGAAATTAAGCGTTCCAATGTTGGGTATTTATGTCAAGAACTTGTGGGGTACACGGTGGTAGGGCCGAAATTGTACCGGTACAGATACCAAATCCAGCTCTCAAGACCAAGCTGGTGATGTGTCGTATAAAGAAGCAACACCTGACCAGCAAGGCCACAAGACTGTGAGTTCTATCGTAATCATTTTCATTTACGGTAGCATCTTTGTAATCTCCTAGGTTATCTAGGTAGAGACTTGCCGCTGCTCAATTACGGCGTGGTAACAAGCAGGCAATGTACGCAGACCTAGCGCGTGCCGATTATCGTGCTATGTTGCATGGCCGACAGGTGGCCGGCCTTCGAACCAAAAAAGGGAAACGGCTGTCCAGATAACCTATCGTGGCTCCCTTCGCCGCGATACGAAGTGCGACAGTGTACCGTTGAGCAGCAGATCAAGGACATAAGGCGGTGCTTATTCCCCACCGGCGCCCAAGTTTCACCTTTGACTTGACTATTCTCTTCCTCGTTGTCTCATATCCAAGATGTCGTCCAGCAAACGCTTCAGTAAGAGGCTGGGCTTCAAGAGGACCAAAACCGGCCAAGAGCCCATCAGTGTGACTGAACTATCCTCAACTGAAAGCAACGTAGAGCAGACTCGCCGCAAGGACGCAGTCGCTGGCCACGGAGATGTAGATCCCGTCATTGACGAGGTCATTCGCGACATCAGCGAAACAGAGGCGAACCGACGCCTTAATGTCTTCCGTCGTGAACACAGATGGGACCCGAATATGCCAGATGATGCCATTGAGATGGTTGATGTCTTTACCAGCGCTCATGACCACAAAGGCGAGGCAAAACTTGTTGGGGAGGTCATCGAGAACTCACCGTACCCTGAAGTAAGTTACAGTACCTGCAACGCTCCGACATATTTCGCGGCTCACCTTCACTCAGGTCCGCGCCGTCGTGAAAAACTACGATGAAGATGTCTCAGCGAATACTATCCGAGCATGGATAATTGGTCTCTTGTTGACTACGATTTGCTCATCAGTAAACTCCCTGTTCTTGCTGCGTTATCCGATCATCTTCATTGGCCCGTACGTTGTTTTGCTGGTGGCATATCCCATTGGCCTCGCCTTCGCAAGACTCCTGCCAAACAAGGAGGTCAAGTTCTTTGGATCAAAGACCAATCTAAACCCTGGCCCGTTCAATGTGAAGGAACATGTTATCATCGTCGCAATGGCCAATGCTGCATTCGGTGGTGGGTCTGGTTATTTCATCGATACGATTGTTTCACTCAAGAAGTTCTACCACTTTGACACAACCCAGTTTGGCTGGGGATTCAACATACTCTTTGCCTTAGCCACACAATGTATGGGATTTGGTCTGGCAGGTTCTGCCCGAAAGTTCCTTGTTGAACCTGCAGCCATGATCTGGCCCGGCGCTCTCGTCAACGTCGGCTTTTTGTATGCGCTGCATGATCACAGCCCCAGTGATCCTTCCAAAACCGATGGATGGTCTATATCCCGTTATAGATGGTTCATGTACATCATGGCCGGCATGTTTGTTTGGTCTTGGTTCCCCGACTTTATCATTCCCGCGTTCAGTTACTTTGCCTGGGTTACCTGGGCCAAGCCTAATAACGTTATCGTCAACCAGCTCTTTGGACAAACTACCGGTATCTCGCTTGGGTTCCCATTCACTGGCTTTACCCTCGATTGGGCTCAGATCAACGGATTTTATGGTAGTCCGTTGATTAGTCCTTGGCACGGTACGTAGGATTCTGTGCAATTCGTGTACGCCAAGAATACTGATTTCATACTCTTAGCGCATGCCAACACTGCAATTGGTATCATATTCTTCGTTTGGTTACTCATACCAGCGCTGAACTACTCCGGTGTTTGGTACGGAGATTATGTCCCAATCTCGCAAAACGGCATTTTGGACAACACTGGTGCGATCTACAACATCTCCCGGATTCTCACCCCCGAGCACATTGTCGATCCCGTCAAGTATGAGGAATATTCCCCTCTATTTCTTTCCACCGCTTTTGCGCTGGCCTACGGATTGAGCTTTGCTTCCATCGCTGCTCTTCTTAGCAACACCTACCTGTTCCATGGTGCTGAGATCTGGCGCCGCTGGCGATCGTCGTCTGGCGAACTTGACGACGTGCACATGAGAATCATGCGCAAGTACAGATTGGTGCCTACTTGGTGGTACATAGCGCTATTCCTAGTCATGCTCGCATTTGCGTTCGCATCCGCTCTCGCTTTCCCAACTGGCATGGCATGGTACTCAGTCGTTCTTTCTGTTGCCATTGCAGCCGTTTGGACAGTACCTATTGGTATCATCCAAGCCTTCACCAATATCCAACTTGGCCTTAATGTTTTCACCGAGTTCATCATCGGCTACCTTCAGCCCGGTCATCCCATCGCCATGATGATGTTCAAAACCTTTGGCTACATCGTCATGAACCAGGCGCTATACTTTTGTCAAGATTTGAAGATGGGCCACTACATGCATGTTCCCCAGCGCACTCTCTTTGCCGCCCAATTGGTTGCTACCATTTGGTCGACACTCTGCCAGCTCGCGACGATTGAGTGGGCCATGGGTGCTATCAAAAACGTTTGCACCTCTGAAGCTTCGGGCTACTTCACCTGCGCCTACATCAAGACATTCTACAATGCTAGTGTCATCTGGGGCGCCATCGGTCCCAAGCACCTCTTCTCTGGCATTGCAGTCTACAAAGAACTCCAGTATTTCTGGCTCATTGGGTTTGCATCTCCCTTCCTCGTTTACGGCCTTGCTCGCATGTTTCCCCATGTCTCGTGGATTCGTCGGCTGAGTATGCCTGTTATTTTTGCGTGCATGGGATACGTTCCCCCATATTCTGCCATGAATATAGTGAGTGCACTTCTATTCTTTCTCAATAAAGCATACATACACAAGACTAATGGTGATTATAGTTGTCTTGGGTTTTAATCGGTTACATCTTCAACAGGTTCATTCGGAACAAATACCGGGGCTGGTGGATGCAGTATAACTACATTACCTCTGCTGCTCTGGATGTTGGTCTTGCTCTCTGCGCCATCATTATCTTCTTCTGTGTCCAGTTGCCTGGTGCTTCAATGCCCGAATACTGGGGTACCACAATTGTGGGCAAAACTCTCGATGGAGCGGGAGCGGCTGTTAGAAAGACTGTTGCTGATGGCGAGTACTTTGGCCCTAGGACATGGAAGTGGTAAGTAATCATGTGAGGGATTGCTGTATAGCACATCTTGAGAGCGAGGCACTTTAACGGAGGAGAATAAGGGAAGTGTGAATGCGTGCATGTTGAAAGAAGTTCATGGTTGTTACGATATAAGAGCTAATTGATTCCTCGTTATGATTTTGATAAATCTCTAATTTGACTCCTCCTCCATATTTTGGCGTCGAGATGTTCAACGTCCGTTGCCGTTGTAAGCCACAAGGTTGGCAGCACCCTGGCCGTCGGTAACACGTCCAGGTGTGGCCAAAGCAATGACTCTCGCCCTGACAGCCGCAGCAGTCGACAAACCCTCCAATCCACGGAGGTAAGACACCAAACCAGCAACATGGGGGCAAGCCATGGAGCTTCCAGTCAGCGTAGCGGTGGCAGTGTTGCTCTGGAAGTAAGTGGAAACGACACCGGTACCGGCAGCCCAGATGTCAACTGCAGGCCCGTAGTTGGATGCGCCAGCGCCGTTGTAACGGGCGTCGTTGGTGTTCAGGTTACCGACGGTAAGGGCTTCGGGAGAACGGGCTGGGGAACGGGTGGAAGCAAGGGTGTTTTCGTTTCCAGAAGCGACGACGGCGAGAACACCCTGGCTCCATGCGGCGGTGATGGCAGCGTCCCAGGCGGCGGATCCGATGCCACCGAGAGACATGTTGATGACTGCGGAGTTGGTGCGGCGCTTGGAAACGATGTCGTTTACAGCCCATTGGAAACCAGCAATGACAGTGGAAGAAGGCGAGCTGTTCGTTTCGAAGACCTTGACAGCAATGAGGTTGGTCCTCTTGGCGACACCGTAGGTGCGGCCACCGACTGTACCGGCGACGTGGGTGCCGTGACCTTGGTTGTCGTTGTTGTTGGTGTTGACGGCGTTGAAGCCCCATGTTGCGCGGCCCTCGAAGTCATTGTGAGTGATTCTGATGCCAGTGTCGACAATGTAGGAGAAGGTGCCTGCACCGGCAGTGTCGTCGTAGATGTAGCTGGTCGCTCCGCGGGTGCGAGAGGAGATGCTTCCAAGTCCCCAAGTAGAGCTGCTTTCTGGGTCTGCATTAGCCATAAAGGTCTAAATAGTGGAATATATATCCGGTTGGTCTTACGGGTCACCAATGCACTGGTGGTCATCATGTGGTCCTGCTCCACGAGAAGAACCTCAGGAAGAGACTTCAGCTCCTCCACGGTCTGGGAATCAAAGGCTCCAGCGTAGCCCTTGAAGTCACCAAATTGGTACTCGCGCTCAATACCAGCGCTTGCCTCTTCATCTGTACGACGAGCGAGGTTGCGTGCATGAATGGCACGGACTGTCTCGTGATGCGCTGTGATGGAGGCCATGTCGGTCTCTGGCTTCAACACGACGATGTACTTGTCGGGAATCAAGTTCTCCTGACGAGGTGCGAGTGGAGCAGCTTGCGCAAGGAACGGAGCTGCTGTCGCCGCTGCGGCGAGAAGACGGGTGAAGAACTGCATCGTGAAGTCGACCGTGCTGGATTGTGCTGGAGTGAAGGTAGTGGAGTGAGGATGTCCAATATCAACATTGCATTACCTTCCTGACTTTATACACATCGCGATGACAACTACTCTTCTGCAACCTGTACATGTCGTTGTTCCTGTCCACTGCGCTATTCTCTCTCCAGGCAAAGCGAATTTGCCAAGCAGCCTTGTCAGTCTTGACTTCTGCCATCTTGAGAAATAGCCTCCGTGCAATAAGTAGGCTGGGCAGCGCAATCTGATAGGAAGTTGTGGTGCCCTGCAGATGGACGACGTTCTCTCCGGATGTAGTGGATGGAATGGCGCAAGTGCCAAGTGAAGCAGTATGGGACAAATGCCGGGGTATATAGTGTCCTAAGTATCCCTCACAATATCACCGCACCACTAAAAATGCTCCATCCATCTTCCTCCTGCCGCTTTGAGCGTCCGAACCGCCCACATCTAAATGTGCCGAGCGGCATCGCGGGGCATGTCGACTTCAAGGGCTTTGGTAGAGAGCGATTTTGGGTGTCATGAAACCTTGCTAATACCTTTAATCAGGGGTGTCGAAGGCACGATGTGGTCTTGGAAGCGGCGCGCGGTAGGATATCTTAGTGTTTTGATATCGCGGAAAGATGAAAAGAGCAGTTCCAAGACTGTAGTCTCCTTTACTCATTGTCCCAGAGTAGAAGGTAGCAGCATAGATACGATTTTGTCCTGTTGCGGAAGTCGCAGCTTGTGATGCGCGTGATATAGTAGCAAGCATCTTATGGAAAGACGGTGTCGGTTGGATAGATGGGATTGCTGCATCGGCCACTCCCAGGTGCACTGACGGGTTTGAACATCACTCGTATGTAAAATGTGTAGAAGAAGTCAATGGCCGCAATGTCAGCAGATATGTACTTCCTTCGTACGCCGGAATCCGACGATTATGATCGATGTTTTCGTGCCTTGGTGAGGGAGATCATCCGCGCAGTCACCACCATTGGTGGATCCGCAGCCAAAGGGCTAGCGCTGGTGCATTCGAGTCAGCCACATCTTTCTATGCTGTTCGCGCTTACAAAATCGACCTGCTCGAAAGCGTATAGACTGACTGAGTCTGCATCATCCGGCTTCATTTGCTATCAGCCTGATAACCTGATAGTGCATTAGGTCTTCTTGGAACGCCGACGATTTGCTTGTAGTGTATACATTTATCTCTCTCAAACAGCCTGATTCTGGAATGCAGGTTACCCCCTTCTCGCATCTCTTCATGTTCGCCATCTGCAATAACAGCCGTACGATTGTTTCTTTCGACAATAGCTCCACACTGCTCAAGATCAGCTGATCGATAAGACGACCTCATAGGTTGAAGGTCCAGCTCGAGCGCATGGATTCAGCTTTTCCTTCAACCTCTTCGCATTGCTCGTTGACGGCTTGGGCTTAGATATGAGCTTAAGAAGCTTCACCCCCGTAAAGCACTGGAAAAGTCTGGAGATAGTAATGTACGTGGTTGAATTATTAAATCATTGTCGTCGTTTCGAAGTATTAAATCATCGTCGTCGTTGTGAGATGTAGGCCGAGCGCTTTCATATCTTCGTTCCCAATGTCTCGTATCGTGTTTCCACAAGAATTCCTTCTATACTCGTATTATCCGTTCTACTCGCAGTATCGTTCAATTCCGTCCATACTCGCGTAGCATATCCTTCGCTTCCGTCCTCTCCAACTGCGTAAGTTCTGACAGTGTTCTTCGTATTCATATGGCTCTTTGTGTACGTGTCGTTCTCGTTGCGATTTTGGGCGAGTGCGTAAATGGTAGGAGTCACAGCAACGATGACTGCAAACAGTATCTCTAACGAAGCCCATAGAGTATGCGCGCGCTGCGCACGTGAATTCTTGCCCTGAATTATCCGCAGGATGCTGATGGCGATGAGAAAGAGTCCGATACTGAATAGGAAGAGAATTCGAAGGCGTTGCATCGCGGGGATTTTAACGAACAGAATGAGGGAGCACGGTACTGCCATCAGTATGACATCGGTGATGATGTTGCAGATTTCGTAGGTGAAGAGCCAGATGTTGCCCACAACACTGCAATGATTAGCATTTACCTCAACAGGACTACAGGTAGGAACTCAATGCATCGTACCATTCTCCTGGGTCTGGGAATATCTGCCAGTGTCGCTGAAATGGGTGACATTCTACGAACACGGTCGTGATGGAAACAACAAAGGTGACACCCAGAACAGTCCAGAAGACGTAGAGAATTTTGCGCTCGTACGGCATCTTCATGATAAGTCGTCCAAGTAGATCGAGAACTGCCATCTTCAGAGACCAAAGGCTATTTGCGTAATCAGATTGTCGTGGTCTGTCAAATTCATTGATTACGTCAAGTCTACTTACACACACATCAAAAGCGACCGAGTGACCAGCACCAGTTTACTGCCCGTAATGATCTTGGATGCCTTTTTCGAGTACGCATCTTGAAGTAACAGGCTCCTGTCCTCTAGCGATATTACTGCTCTGTGGTTAACATTTTATAGTATGTAGTGCATGGTGAGACTCACCTCTTGTTGATCCATAGAGCAGGAGGAAGTGATTAGCCAACAATCTCCCCAGGATGAATATCGCTGCCGATAAACACCAGTAGTCGCCGCGCGTCACAGACTGCCCTCGAACTCGTCGCAACACTTGTCGAATGAAGATCAATGCAACAGACAGCATCAGACAGACCCACATCGACACTGTGGATTGAGAGTCGAGTGCCATCATGCCAGATCGATTTTGCGTGCCTGCGTGTTAGATCGATGGCAGTTGAACCGAGCTCCGTAGAGAGCGTTGGAAGTTGCATGCATAAGAAGTATGCTTCGCCAGGATTAGAACTGACACCTTCCATATAACCAGTATGCGTCAGCGCCGATCCAGGACAGAAGACGCACGCCTTCTCGCTTCCGAGCCATATTTATGGATAGCTATACATAAACGGTCATACGGCCGGCCATAATGTAATTGGCGGGATACATGCCAGGCAGCTTGTGGCGTTCTCTTAGACAGCGGGAAGTCATCCACTCGCAAGGAAAAACACGTGGTTCGTCTGACTTTGCACAGCTAAGTACCCTTCCAGAGATCATCCCGAAATTTGCTTTGCAGTGAAGCGGTGACGACTCATCCATGGCTTTTCAAACTGTCCAATAGCTAGTATTCCAACGAGTCAATCATATGCCACCGCATAGACCGAATAGAAGGCAATAATCGTCGTATAAACCGTTGGGCCGGAGGCGAAGGCAAGTGATCTGCCTTCAGACATGTGCCGGGATAGCCAAGATCGCTGGTTGGATTTCTCAGCGCCCAGCTGCTGTTGCGTTGTTGTATCTGGAGACGCTGCAACTGGATAAACTCGCAGTCTTACACTCTCCATCACTGTGCAGAGCACTGTCTTCCCCCATTCGTGATATCCCATATGCCCATAGAATGGAGTCTTCTTCTTTCACTGGTAGAGGTCGCTAACACGAAAGATGTTGTCCCGCTGCTTTACAGGAAGCCATCTCGCCTATCGAAAAGGGCCGAAAATGTCGTTTTTTTCGGCGGAAGCAGTGAATCTTGGCGGTACCTGGTTGCTTCGTTTGGATCGGGATTTCCATCTCATTGGGCTGAAGTCATAGGAGAACGATCGTTCCCCACAGTCTAACCTACCATGCCATGCACCCCAGTTCTAACCACATTGTACCGCGGTAATCCAGCCGGCCCACGTGTCGCTCCCAGATTTCCTCAAGCGATGGCGAGTACAAAGTGCCAGACCGGGAAATGATGCGGCAGCCATCGATTCAGTAGCCGAGCGAAATTTGATGCCGGACCCGCTTGGAAGACTCAGTCAGTCACGTGATTAAGTTAGCTCCTTGCCCCGACGGAGTAGAACGACACACACTACGGTACAAAACCGGTTTACAGTAGCCATATTTATCTAAAGTAGACCACAAAGTAGTTTAAGTACAAGAAGTAAACCTAAATAGGGTTTACTATACTATATATTCTATAAAGGTAAACTACTTTTTAGTTTATATATTATTAGTATTATATATATTAACTTTAGCGTCTATTTAAACATAGTTTATATAATATACCTAATTATAGGTTATATAGTAGATAGATATATAGCACCTAGGGGGAAAATTTAGTGTAGATAGAGGGTATATAGTAGGTATAATTTAGTAGGGTTACTATATAGGAAGCAGTACTAGTAGATACCTAGGTAGTATAGGCGTGCAGTATACTACTACCTAGGTACGCTATAATAATAACTAAGAGACTATGTAGTATACCTAGTATATAAAATTATAATCTAAAATATCCTATAATAATAGGTTAGTAAGTTCTATAAAGGTGCCTATTATAATAACACTCCTATATTATAGTATAGTAGTATTACTAAAGATTATACTCTATATTATAAATATTCTAGGGCAAGTTAGTTGCTTACACTATATATATTACAGGTTTCTTTAGTAGTATATTAGTTTAAAGTTAGGTATATATATATATTATTATATATACTATGCTATATATAGTAGTAAAGGGGTAGTATAATATAGTAAGCTTGTATAGTATAGGATATATAGTAATATTATATTATATTATTTATATATACTAATATTATATATATATAATATTTAACTTATATAGTTAGGACCCTCTTATATTATAATTATCTATAAACCTAGACGCTATTATTACTATTACTATTATTTAGCTCTCCTATACCGCTACTATCTATATAAGGGGCATCTGTAATAGATGCTCTAGTTTATATTAGAGACTACTATAATTTTAGGCCTTGTACTCTAGAAGTATTTCTCTTATTACTATTACCTTTAGCCTTAGCTTTAGTTATATAGTTGCGCCTAGCCTTTGCGTTCCTAACGCGTGTATTCTTATAAGTCTATATTAGTAGAGTAGAATCTAAAGTCTCTATTAGAGAGTCTATAATAGTATAAGGTTAGCGTTATTACGTGTCTAGTAGTATATTATAGTTATCTTCTATAGGCGTGTTTTTGCAAGTGTCTAGAGTAGAATTATTTAGTTAGGCTAGTATACTATATAAATAGGTTTGCTTTTATAGTCTTATATCTAGCTATACTAGTACTTGTTATAATCTAACACTACTAGCTAGGGGCACACTAACTATTAGGTTAGGATACTAACCCCTAAAAACGCTACTATTACTATTCTAGGCACCCTAGTCTTTAAAGCTAGTAATACTACTAGTGTATTTAGTTTAGGGTAAACGTTGTCTTTATATATATTTAATAGGATAGGGTAATACTAGCTTACTTATAGCCTATAATAAGTCTTAGTTTAAATATTAGGGAGTATTACTATAGAATCCTAACTAGGCTACTACGTAGTTATAGCATATACCTAAACTACTATAAATAAAGTTAGATATTAGCTACTAGTATCTATATAGACCTCTATATATAATAGACCTCCCTAGGCTAGGGCCTTATAGGATAGTAAATATTTAAGTAATTAGGGTAGTAATACTATTACCTAGTATAGCATAATTATATATAACAGCTCCTTTATAATAGTAAGATTAGTATATTTAAAGAGGTAGATAATATACTTGCGTTTTAGTTTAGAGTATTAGTTCTTATTCCTATATATCTAGGTCTACTATATAAGCTATTTTAATACCTATACTCTATTAAAATATCTAAAAAATAAATACTTAGTAAGGATAGTGTCCTATATATTAGTCTACTTAGAGTTAGAAATATAGGTAAATAGTTAGTCTTAGATTATATTAAAGTATATATCTATAGCCTTGCAGATACACTTATTAAGGTTATTAATACCCTTCTTACTAACTATAAACGTGTAAATCTATAGGGCAAACACTTTAGGCGTACATATTGCTACCTACACTATAATTAGATTATTACTTACTAATTTTAGCTATAGGTAGATACTATATAGTTCTAGTATTTTGTGTAAATAGGATCTTAAATCCTATATTAACTATAGGATAGTATTAGGAACAAAGGCGGCGTTTATAGTAGATAAGGTTATAAGTAAAGCTAATATATTATAAATATATTATTATAGATAGAAAGGGTATATTATTATATATAACTTATATACTTATTATATTATAACACGTACTAGTGTTATTACTATTACTTATAATATATTATCTTTAGCTATATCTTTATACTAATATACTTCTATAATATAGTTATTAAATAATAAGTTATTGTACTATAGTTATGCTATATTAGTATAATAGAAGTATAGAGAGGGTGTGCTAACGTGTTACATTATATACGTGTGTAAGGGGTTAAGAATTAATTTAGAGTATACTAGATTATTATTATATAGATTTATATGTATTACTATAATTATAGTATTATTACTTATTATAACTAATACTAATAAGTTATATTAGCTTATATAGATTTATACTATATCCTTTTATTTACCTACTCCTCTATATACTAGAGTATAATAGTTGCATTAATAGAGTAAGATATAAATATCTAGGAATACACTCTTACTAACCTATATTAGTTACACGTAGTTTATATTTACTAAAACGCAGTTATTATATAACCTAGATTAGTATATAAGTTATACTAGACTAGGAATTAATACAGATTAATATAGTAACTATAACACTATTTAAGAGAATAATATTGCAAGTTACTAAATTTAGGGGTAATAACCTATCTGCTATGCTATAGTATTCTAAAAGTAGGGTAATCTATCCTTTAGATACCCTATTAACTATACGTCACACGTTAATATATTTTCCTAGGCTAGGTATAGAACTAATATATATTAGCTTAGGATAGAAAATAGGGCTATTATATATATTAGTTAACTACTATAAGATATAGTAGTCCCTACTATAGAAAGCCTAGTTATAGAAGAAGAGGCTCTTTATCTTTAATAGTACACTATTAAAGTTAAGATTATCTTTATAGAAGCTTTTATTTAATTTAGTATTAATAAACTTATAATAGATATATTATATATAAGCGCAACGCAATAGGACGTGTTAAATAAGTATATTATATAATTAAAGAATTACTCCTTCTTACTTCCTGTATCTAGTTAGTAACTAGATAACCTATATAAGGAGAAAATAGATTACCCTCCTATATAGTATCCTATAGAGAACTGCGTATCTATTATAATATAGCAAGTTTGTATCTTAGATAGTATATCTTATAGTATAAAGCCCTTTAATAGCAGATAGTAATAAGCTAACTATACTATTAATAGGCTATCTTACCTAAACTATACTAGTTAGACTAGCTTTCTTTTATATAGAATAGTAGCGATATAGTCTTATAGTAGCCTAGAAACCTTTCTTAGAATATCCTTAGTCTATAAGGCTAACTAAGGCATAAGGAGGAGAAACTAATACTAAGTAAGGATTTAAGTAGAGCAGATTATCTAGGAGTAGCCTAAGCTAGTCCTACCTCTATTAGAAAGAGGTTAAAAGAGTCTCTATAACGCTTAAAAAGGCTACTATAAATAGTGTCTAACGCCCCTAATTTGCTAGCTTATGCTTATCTATAGTAAGAAACCCCTTTAATTATATCTTTATTATAAAGTCTTAAGAGATAGCTAGGTAAAGAGAACCTTTACTACTAGCAAGTAAATATTACTAAATACTCTAAAGGAAAGAAAGACTATAAGTAATTAAGAATATAAGGTTGTCCCCTAATACTATAGAGAGATTAAGTTTAGGTAGTCTAGGCCCTACTACGCCTATAATAGTCTAATATATACTAAGTAATACTAAAGATAGGTAGATAACCTATAGTTAGCAGACCTAAATAATTAGTCCTATAGTCTAGGACTGCTACTAAAGAGAGGCTACTTTACTTTAACTCTAACTAACTCTACCTGCTAGTTATAAGTGTAACTAGCGCACTAGTATAATTAACTATTCTTTAATATACCTACTTATATACTTATAATTATAAACTACTATACCCTTAATAAACTAAAAGACTATATACTACTACTACTAACACTACTTATTAGCCTTATTAAGGACAGGCATAACTCCTTAGCTCCTATAGGGGTATAATACTAGCGCTAGTTATGCTATTATTTAGAAGCCTAAAGGTTGCAATCCTTAGCCTTACTATAGTAGTAACTACTAACTACTAGTCCTAATTCTAGCTAAGATTACTAATTTAAAATCTATTAAATAACTAGTTAAGTAAAGTGTTAAGTTTAGCTTAGGTCTAACTATCCTCTATAGAGACTATAGATCCTTAGGAAGTATAGGTATATACTAACCTACTACTTATCTATTATATAAACTATAGGCTCTAGGAGCTTATTAGATAGTGCTAAGTATAACTACTACTAACTATAATAACTCTTATTATAGCATTTATTAACTTAGAGGTGCTACCTATCTTAATAATATTAATAGAATAATAATATAGAGAAGGTACTACCTTATTACCTTAAGCGTAAGCACTTAATAGGGATATCTCCCTAAGTAACGTAAAGATAAAGAGACGCGTGTATTACTATAACTACTTATTAGGTAGACCTAAGCTAGTTTTAATAACTAGTACTATACCTAGTATAGTATCCTTACGCTACTATAACCTAGCTAGTGTCTAGTATATCTTAATCCCTTTAACACTAACTAACTTAATAAAATAATATTAAGGGAATGCTATAGGGACAAGAATAGCTAGTATAAAACTATAAATATATTATTAGATAGGTAACTATCTATCTACTAAAGATAAAGTTAATAGTATTAGAAGCGCTAGG